ATGAATTAGTCTAAAGAAGCGAGAGAATTATTTAATAAGGATGGGGGGATCCTAAATTTTTTAGCCTAAAGGATCACCCCATGCAACATAAATAATACTTCGTAACTCGAGTCGGGGTGTTACTCGTATTATTCAGCGGGCACAGACTATCATCTCCTACTACCCGATTACTATCTTTAAGTTGTTACCTAAAGCGCTCTAATTGATTCTAGTTCGCTTCCTATGCGTGAACTACCCATCCCTTACTTATGGCCCTGGAGGTATTGGGACCACTATTAAGGATAGTTCTAGACTAAGCCTAGGTTGCTCAAAAATGTAAAAGGCTAGGCGACAAGCAAAACAATTAGGACTATCAGATAAAGAGCGGATACGGGCTCATATTGACCTCCACACATAAATAGCAAATGCATGCAATTGATTAGCAGGTTTTATTAATTGCAGAATCCTATAGATAGGATATCTATGTGAGAAGATAGGTGAGCAGTAATATACCTGATCAGTCTTATTAATGTGAGTGTTAAGGCCTATTATTTTGCCTACTGATTTTATTTAGTACAACATCTAGGCATTTCATAGAGTAATGAATAACAATAAATCACAGTTGTGAATCTAGAATGGTTGTTCAATCCTATGTTGAGAGTGACGATCGTGTTCAGAATCATTTAGTGGAATCCTATAGGCATGATTTATATCATTGGACTGATTTTTAATCCTATATGCATAATGTCTAATTAAATAGCATACATATAGAAATTTAGACACATTGCTAGAAAATAGTTGAGTCAAATATTGGTCCTATAGGCATGATTGCTAACACACTTTATTGGACAAATTAAAGTATCCTATATACAGGATTTCTAGAAAAAGTTGTAATATTAATCCTATATGTAGGGTTTCTAATATAGAATTCATATGATTTTAAAATCACCAATGAAAATCCAATTGGAAAAATCTCTAAACAACGTAGAACTTAATAGTTTTAGACAAAATGAGCAGAATTAACAGTGTAGATGAAACCCTATAAGCAGGATTTCTACACAACTTAACCAAGAAAATAAG